TATTATCATCATTTGCTCGGAAACTTTATACGACCGTGATTCAATAATCGTGGCTGATCGCCGAGGCAGCAAAAGGTATGTCATTCGACTAGTTCGAGACAAAGAAACATCTCAAAGAGAAGTCGTTTGATATTTAGGACAAAGGATGCAGGAATTAGCAAAAAAGAAAAATTCTTTATTCTATTAAAGTGTGGAGAGCAATAATAATAATTTTCTCTATTTTTCCTAAAAATCAATAATCAATTAATTAAAATTAATTATTAACCAAAATAATTGCAAATCAAAAATCAGGAAATTGACGAGCTGAGAGCATCGTCGGGTCTGCAAAAAAATGTCGGATTTAGTAGAAAACTGAGTCTTGTTTTATGCGATTGAAACTAAATGCGGAATTGTAGATAACGTTTTGTCAAACATCATCCGAAATAGGGCAACAATCAGTGTTCAGGGAAATCCAGAGTATAGTTATGGGTTAGGTTTCATAGTGTGGAAATAGAAATAGATATGGATAGCGAAGCTTGTGTAATAACGATAGCAGTGAAACAGTGGAAAATAAAAATAAAGCAATTATAAAAGTATACAAATATTCATAAAGCAAATATGGATTTTGTGACTTTACTAATGAAATGTAATTTCTATTAAAATTTGGAAAAACAACCGACTTTTTGGAAAATCAATAGCTTATGCACTTATGAGGTTATTCACTTAATTATTGTTATTTCAATGCCATAGACAATAAAGGTCTCGACAATACGTGATCTTTTACTGTTTGTTGTTGTTATTTCAGGAATGTTATATAAATAAAATAATTTGAACTACAATTAGTAAGTTCTATAAAAAGAAAAGAACTTGCTGGTCGAAAAATAATAATTAATTTCCACTAACAACCAAAACTATTATTACATATCGCAACAAAATGAAAATGTTTAACTTCTCCATTTTTAAGTTCATTTTATTTCACTAGTTTTGTTAATTTTGGTTAATTCGGTTAAGTTAAGTACTTTCGCCCTGTAAGTTGAACAGAATTGATCCTTTCACAATCATGCATTTATGACTTTTTGTATGTATACACTTCTTCAAGCACGGGAACAATGGCTGTTTGAAAGAACCCAATAATGACGAAACCCCTCTTACTGTAAAATCAACGACATGCTTGGTAAGTCGTCATATTTATTTATTTAAAAAAACGATTACCCCACAATCTGCCTCCAAACAAATCACAAACTGTTTTTTGGTTCAATACATTTTTGATGAGTTAAACGGTTTTAAACCGATTCTTTCTTTCCCCCCAAAGGTAAGGTGGGCAGGAGCGTATTTGACTTTATTAAAGAGATTTTTCGTAGATATATAATAATTTCTGTTATTAATGCAAATCATAAATTAAAAATTTACTTCGCAGAAATGTCGATTCTAGGAATTAACATTTGTTTACTCTTCTCGTCCCTATATTTTTTACGACTGTGTATATTTAACCACTTTTAATTTTGTTTAATAAATTTTATTCTAACTTTCTTCTCTATTGGTTTTTGAATTACTATAGAATATATAATTACTTTGAAAATGAGGTAAGATTTTAAGTTTATATTTTTATATTATATTAATGAATGATCATAAAAATGACAAAATACAAACGTTCCTTTTTTTTTGAAAAAGCGACAACTGACAGTTCCAAATAGAATTTATAACAAAGTATAATAATGGATTCTTGTGATGTCACAATCGGTATCCAGATAATATGTTGGTCACAAAACTGATTACTTTTTACTATTCATTGATTTACACGACAAGAACCGTCATTCCCCGAATCAGATCCATTTTTTTCTTCCAGTAAATAACCTGGATGATTACAAATGCCACACACTGCTTAGGAAGAGTGGAAAAAAAGAATGCAGCTTTCGAAGCAGGATTCAGATTGACTCTTAGCATATAGATAATAAGATATATAGTGGCCCTACTATGGTAAAAATTGAGGCGCTATGATTTTTTCGTAGAGAAGATATGGATCTTTTGCGCATGCGCCACCCCCCAGCTGACTGAGTTGTTACATTGCCGTATTTTTTCTGAAAAATTGATTAATTTTTTTAAGAACCAACATCAACATCAAGCTAAGTAATTACTATTGTCACAGAATAGTCTGTGCCCTGTGTCATTGTTTTTTTCATTTTTGGTGTCAATATATCAGTAGCATAGTCACAAACTTGTGTAATTTGTGCTTTCACGAAATCTTCTTAAAGAAAAAGTGATGCCTATATATTTGACATTTAACAAACTGGAAAATAGACTTACACAAATGTTTACATGTGAATTTACTAAACAGAATTCCCTACATTTTTAGGTACACTTAAATAGGTACGAAGGATGTTTGGGTAATATGTTTTAGTGTACAAGAATCACAGGAAATATAAGAAGCAATTAAGCTACAAGTTGAATTTTTACTAGAACAAGCATAAGAAATACCCCGTATGAATTATTACTGTCTATAGGAGGTGCTTCTTGAACATTTTTTCACTTAGATATGTCATGTGCGACATTTTGCATCTCAAAGTTATTTTAATGAAGGTTAAATCTATGAGTTGTGAAAAACTTACCCCGATTTACAAAAAAAATAGCTTACATTAAAAAATAAATGTAGAAATTGCATCGTATCTACAGGGCCTGAAGAACAAAAACGCTAAATTCATAATACTGACGTCGACGTGGGTGCTGTAATTCTGCACTGCTCTTGCAGACCTTAACTCCTTTTTTGCCTGAAAATTTAATAGGATTTCGACATATATTGAAAAAATACTGCCGCATCCAAACATTAACAATGTGTCGGCGGCCATGATGCTTGTTGAAAATGGCGAGTTCTTATTTATACTGAGTACTAAAGTAGACGAGCACTTTAACAATGTGACACGCACATAAAGAGTCCCATCAAACTACATCAATAAATAAATATGTACTGTACGACCAAAAATATTGTGCATTTATTGCGTTGACGTTTTAAGTATTTTACAGTACCTTATCGGCAGACCTTCGCAGGACCGTAGTTAAACACATCCTAACAGATGTTTATTCTGCATTTAGTAGATCTAGCCTGAGATGGACCGTAACGAATATTTGTAGAAACTTGAAATTTTTATTTGAAACGTAAAAGGACGTATCGTTCTGAAGAGTTTAATCCAAATTGCAATATGTTCGTATATATTACGGAGGTGTTCGAATGTGATGCTTCCAGTAAGTACGTATTCATATACCTGATTCTCGATCTTTGACCCTGCGACGCTGTTTTCACTGGATAAATCAAAGGCTAAAGGTAAGTAACTGTGCTCTATTTATCTTAGAGGTAAGTTTGAAAATAATCATTTTTGTTTTGTGTGCCTAACGATTAACAACATTCTTCTTCTTGTATTTTGTGTCTTCTATATAGTTCTTCGATTTGTAAACAATAACAGTTTTTTTTTAAACTATATTTAACCCGATTGAGATAATTTGGTCTGAGTTGAAAACTGCACCAAAATTTAGTTATAGTACCATAAACATAATTCGGCAAGAGATATACCATGACCAGAAATATTGTGTTTTTACAAACGAACCCGTGATGAACTTTGCCTATTGTTTATTCCTCCAAACCCGCAGCCCCTTATAGAACACACTGATACTGATACTTTATTATTATTATATGTAATATTTTGTATATTAATAATGATACTAAGTAGAAATGTAATGAAATAGAACATAATACGAATAATAATAATAAGAATATAATAATAAAAATTGCTCGGCGACAAAGATTAAAAACATACTGATTAGTGTAGGTAGATAAATTCCTAGGACGGTCCTGGAATGGTTACGGGTAAGGGTCTGATCGATAAGGTAGTCTATAAGGGGCTACGGTTTTGGAGTAATAAACAGTATGCAAAGTTAATTACGGGGTCGGTTGTAAAAACACAATATTTTTAGTCATGGTATAAGTAAAAAGCACATACCGGCAATCGTCATGGATTTTATGTACCGATGTATTGTTACGTCGTCAAACCCTGTAAATGGGGTGGAAATATTTACAATATTAAATAAAGTACCAAATAACGGATATAACGTTTGGTATGGCGAAGTTTTATTTGAGGCCTCATTATTCTTTATGCTTTTTTCATAAACCCAAGTTCAGACTGTGTCTTGTCACGCGACACTGCAATATACAATCACCGGTAGATCGTGGGAATTTCAACACTCCATAATGCTATTACAATAAAACAACAATAGCGATTTATAAATTATTATCGCCGTATATGTGTAACAACACTTTGTTTCTTCGGATACTAGAAGTAATTCTGAAAAACGTAGGCGTAGCTCAGCTAATTTAATGTTATAATATCCCTAAAAAATGTATAAGATATATCTAATAAAAAATTGAAGAATTAACACACAAAAGCGTCGCAATTTTTAAACAGGTCGTAACCTGTCAGCCTACGAATTTCATGTAAATGTGTAAAGTCTAACTAGATTTAATTAGTACTCAAACCTTAATGCAAAAAAAGCACAACCCGAACAAGCATATTTACAATGGAAACTTAGCTTTGTGTAAGGAGGAAATATTAAAAAATACATTAAAAATCAATCCGCTAAAAATGTTTTACAACGGGCGGGGGTTTATTGAATATAGCGATAAAAGATAAAATAAAAAGATATAAATATAAAAATGATTTTTTTGTGTTTTTTTTGTCCATTCTTGTCATTTACTATAAAACGCGCAGGTTCGACGAATAAGTGCCCTTTTTATTTATTAATACGAATTTAATTAAATACCAAATTGAAACTAATGGCGTCATCTATCGGAAACTCACCGAACCGTAGACCGAGGAAAACGCGGAAACTCCGCTAAGGGAGGCAAGCGACGTTAGAAATCTATAACGCGCAAAGGGCGGGGTAAGGGATAGTAAAACATGAATATTTCATTTATTTTTATAAATAACCTAGGTTAAAAAACTGCAAAAAGGTCGTTTAAGATTCAAAGCACTTACCTTTCTACCCTGAGATTCATTCAAAGATAGAATAAGCCTTCTAGATGATCCAGCCGGCCGTTGCGAATTTTTGGCCGGCCTCAGCTGCAACAAGTCTTCAATGGAATGACTTTGGCGTTTGGGTCTGCTCGCCATACCAGCGCTGGGAAAAATAATAACTTATTATCAACCGAAGTGCCGTTTTCAAACAAATTTACAACATCTATTTAGTTTCTGGTGGTACTTTTAACTTGTCTTGCGCTTCTAAACGATTTCCTCATTTTTGCTGCTCTTGTGTCTAGTTTCTCAATCTGGGAGCGGTAGAAGTTTTTTATAAAATGTTATGAGCCAAAGTAGTCATTTTTATTAAAGTCTATGATTAGAATAATCATTATTTGTAGATTTGTAGATTATTTTAAGATCTTTTTATATTTTATTATTATTAATTATTTATATTTTATATTTTTGTTTTCTTTTTGATAAAAACAAAAGAAATAAAACAGAAAATTTAAAAATAAAAATGTTGAATTTTTAATAACTAATTAAACAGAAATATAAATATTTTTAAAGTGACTGACAAAGCAAATATTTTTTAACAACAAAGATCCGATAGAGAGTTTAAAATGATATTAACAGTAAACCTACTTTTTGAAAGCTTTTGAAGCTGTATTTAAAAAAAGAAAAATTTATATACCTTATGTAAAAAATACAGGGTGGCTTATTCCTGAGATGAAGTTTAAGAAGATAAAGAAAGAAAATAAAAAACTTAAATTAAAAATTATTCGAGAAATGGTTGTTTGTAATGGTTTAATTGTAATTGAGAGTAAAATCTGTGGCATAAGCGTTCAATTTCAAAAAAATAAATTTTATTGGGTTGAAGGCATTCTGTATACAGCTCGAATTTCCATTCAATTGAAATTTTACGAAGGTCTATGTACACACACAATATCACTTTGTAATACACAGGCGAGTTCAAAATTTCCCTACATTTTATCTGGAAATTATTCTAAAAACTATTCTGGAAAATACATGATCTTATTATGAAATATCTATATTTTTCGTTACACCCGGTAAACATAATTGAAATATACATTTTGGTACATCCTTAGACTTTTGATTTCATTGTTTTACATATCTCTAATAAAAACAAAGATATCGCATACGGATATACTGTCCTAGCACTACTCGGTTATGTGCTAGAAATTCGTGAAAAATAACTGTCATAATCAGCCCAGTACGAATAATTAATCCAGTTTTTTAACGGATATCTTCACCGACTTTTGAATAAATAGAAACACGAAGCAAAGACATTTCGTTTCCCGTGGAGTTGTGTCTGTCCAGTTAAAATCAAGCAACTTCCGGCTCCAAGTTTTACCTCTCCGGAAGCACAATTAGCGTCGAAAATATTCATCGGTCGAGAGACAGACCCGTTCAGTGTCAATTTGCACCTTTCCTGCAATTAATAAACTTCACCCGAGCAATTATTGAGTTATTCAAATAGCAATATTTCCGTCTTGGTTCCTCTTAATCAGTATTCCGTTGTTTACCTCCAGATATCAAACTCTCATTGTTTATAAAAGTTTGCGAACTACTCGAAAAGTTTCGTAATAAGGTATCGATTTTCTACTTTGCGAAGTTGACGGGGCGCGCGGGTGGGTAGCAGGGGGATGAGGGGGCGAACCTCGGCGGAATGCGGTAGAGATTACTTTCAGACACGGACATTAAAAATACGACGAAAATTATTGCCAAGTTTTTGGTAGGCTACATTTATTGTATAATTTGTAGTACAATAGAATTTAGTGATATCACACGCGATGCCATCTGTTAGATTTGGCATGAACTTACTGACTTCCAAAAATTTCATTTATAATTTTTATTCAATTATTGCTTAAATAGTTATTCAACGAATATACAGAGTAATTAATTAATTACTGGGAATATTTGAACTGTAGAATTTCATTTGCAGCTCTAATTGTGGACAAAAACTCCAATAAGTCAGTAGAGAGTTTTCATGGAATAATGCTTAAATTTAAAGCAACACCGAATTCTGTCAATGTGATTCAGGTCTATGCCCGTACAGCAGACAAGGAAGAGGAGGAAATTGGTCGAACTTCTATCAAGAAATTGAAGCTGTTTTGAAAAATACCAAAAACCACGAAGTGAACAATAATTACGGGTGATTTTAACGATAAGGTTGGTCAGGAGGGAGTTGAAGGGTCCATTGGTAGATTTGCCAGTTTTGCCAAACTGATATCATGAACACCTGCTTCAAACCATCAGACATAAGACATAAAATGCTATAGAATATTCTCATCATTGAATACTAGCCCATATGTAGCTTAAGTATATTAAAAAATAATTCATAAGAGAACATTTGCTAAGCTGCACTCCGAAATCAACGATAACCAATTAGGGCTTGACATGAATCAAGACACACACACCTGCTTTTTTGCTTTCGAGAAGGCGTTTGATAGCGTTCATCATCAGAAACCATACAAATAGAACAAGACAAGAATAGCAAATCTTTACTGGAAACAAACTGCAAAAGTTCGAAACCAAGATCAACTCACAGATGAAGTAGAGATTCTTTGATATTATTACAGACCAGTGAAGATCTGCAAACCCTTTTACAAAGACTAAATGATATATTTCAATAAGGATTAACTTAAAGAAAACAAAACATTGCAGCAGCAGAAATTTGAGATTAAGGAGTTTTCAACATTACTTTACGGATAAGAAGCATCGATACTTAAAAAGGCGGATAAGGACAGGATCGGAACTTTAAAAAGATGGTGTTATCGACGAAGATTGAGAAACTCATGAACTGAAAGGGTTTCCAACTTAGAACTGCAATAAATAACTCAGAAACAGCAAGAATTAGCTAGCACCCCAAAAAGAAGAAAATTAGAATACATTGGTCATGTAATTAGAGCACCTAAATATGCAATGTTACAGGGCATTATGGATGAAAAGGTCAAAGACAGAAAGAGTCAAGGAGGAGAAGAAACTCTTGGCTCAAAAATTTAAGGAAATGGTTTGGAATGATATCAAACCAGCTATACAGGGCGTCTGTTAATAAGAACAGGAAATCCAATCACAGTTAGTGGCGTAAAATATCGAGAGAGTCAACCAGTCACGTTGCCGCTATCATATAATTGGAGGAGCAGGAAATGTTTATTTAGCATATTGTACCAGGGTGTAGTACCTACACCTCCCACCAAGTATGACAAGAATATGTAAAATGGCTTAAAAATGCTGGGCAAAAATATATAAATATATTTAAATAGAAACCATCAGTAAGGAGCTGCATTTTTTCTAAGTGATTTGGATTTAATCTTAATAGTTTGATTTTGACTTTACAAGCTATGAATTGAAAGTTCTTTTTACAAGTCAAAAATTTTCAAGATCACATGTATTTTTAATATTCAAAATCAAAATAGGCGTTTGTAACTTTCTTTATTTAACTAATTCTGATAGGCCTATAATCAAAATTATGCACTATCCCCCATAATATTCCCCATCAAAAAATTGTATATTTGTGGCAATCAGTAAATACATGTTGTTTTACATGAAAGAGAATCGAAAAAACATTTATAATAATAATGGATATGGTAATAAAATTAAAATGGAGATGTAGAGGAAGCCAGACAATCACGTGTGCCTTTGGCGTTAAATTGTAAACACCAAAACAATTTCTTTTTTTTATAATAATAACTTATAGGCAAAAATGGAAGAAAAATAGTGTTTGTAGTGTTAGGCAGTGAAATCTTTTTTATGAAATTTAGAGAATATGTGTGAAGAGAGCGAAATAAGTAAAAAAGTAACCCCGTTATACTTTTTTAGAGCCCAAAAACATTTTTTTCCGGTTCTCTCGTGGGATAGCTTGGGCTAAAGTAAATACAATAACTACAAAAGAAAAATAATAAATAGAACTTTTGGGTTATATCCATCTTGGATGCCTTGAGCCAGAGATTCAGAAGCCTCTACCTGATGTTTCATATGCAGCAGTCATTTATTCATTTAGTTATTCAATATTTTTAATTTAACATTTTAATAGGATCCCTTAGCGATACAAAATGGGCAGCAACACGAGAACGTATTTCGCTTCATTCTTTTCCGGTGTTACCGCTGGCTTTCGTACGCAAGCACGAAAGTTTGCAAAACTTTTCTGGCGATTACGCCAAACTGGGGACTCATAAAACTCCGCCGAACTTTACGAATAATAAAAACGAAAATACGATTTTCGTTACATGCTCCTTTGTTTGTACCCTTATTTAACAGGTGGTGCAGACTAAAAATTCAGGTATTAATTGCCGTCGTCCGATCGTTAATAAGAATATAATTGCACTTAATACTAAAATGAATTCATGCCTCGCCCAGTTCGAGGTTTATCCACTAATTACACGACTACCGCACTAAACATCAACGAGGAATAAAACATCGGACCGGCTCTTGTTTAGAGCTTTTCAAAGTCCCGTGAATAAGATTTATTTGATTTCCTCTGGACCGCAGCGGCGTTTCCCTCGCGTCGTCCACGTCGTCGCGAACATAACCTAACAAACGCAAACATCACACAAACACTGCCAAACTCCGGACGCGTTAACAACAAAACTTTAAAACAACCCTTACCTGCTTATTTGTGGACTGACGCCGGTCAGAAATCACTCGAACCGTTTTAAAACCGTCACGAAATAAACGTTCGTCAGTTAAAGAAGTTACAAGAAGTTAGCGAAAAGAAAAGAGGCAGATATTCGCGATTAAAAACTTTTCGTACGGACTCTTGCGAGCATGATCCAATAGCGCGAGGGTACAAAGTTGGAAAATAAAATTTGTAGTATGCGCAGCGCACTCTAAAATCAATACGGCCGTAACTTCAGGAGTATATTCATTCTTAGTCATATCGTGGGCACTTGCGATTGTTTTTAGGAGTTTGGTTCGCGGCTGATTAATGTTGCAGGACATCCAACGCAATTAGATACCTATTTTTGTTCCGACAGCTATTGCTGCGTGTGACGGAATCGTCTGTTTGGCAGTTTGAATAAAATAGGGGCGCGTTTAAATTATGCGATTTCGTTTGTACGTACCTATCGCAAGTAAAAATTAATTTCAAGTACTTGCTGAAGCAATTAATTTGAAAATTAGAAAAATTAAAATACTTTCATTATAAAGCAAAACAGTAGTTTAGCACAGATCTTGATAATTTAATTTTTTCTTTGAAACCCTATGTTGTTTCTTATTGTCAAAGAAACAAAAATGCATTAGGCACTTTTTTCAAATTTGAAAACTCCAAGGAATTCGAATTGGCTATAGAACATAATAGAATGATGCGTTTCACAATTTAACCTCGGTTTTGCTT